GGCCTTACGCACGTTTTACGCACATTTTCTGCGTTTCTGGGGGCGCGTCTCATTGAACTTGAAAAGCGGAGAGCAAAGCAAAAGCAGCAAAAAGAGCGCAGAGAAAACAGCTGATTTATGTGCGTAGATGGGCTTGTGTGGGTGGAGTAAAGTGGGTGTGTATGTAGCCTTGTAACATTTTAATGCTCTTCATTATCGAAAGAGCTTATTAGCGGAATGAGTAGGTTACTGTTTGAAAGTTACTCTGTACTTTGCATAAATTTGTAGCTTGCGTGTGGATAACTGTGTTCGAAATACACATTTTATTTACGTATTCAACTTGGCTGCGTTTTTGGTTTCAAATTCGGTTTGGGCTCTGCCCGTTCCTTTTTGCTAGTGGTCGCAAAAATTGCTTGGACTTTAAGTCCAAGGTCAGCGTCAACGCATTAGCGACGTCTCGCTCCATCCCTTTCGCTTCCTCTCCCTCTCCCTCTCTCTATCTACGTCTATGCAATCACTCATTCGTACAGAAATCCGAAAATGAAGATGAAAAAAATGTGAAGCAGTCCCGAAGACGGGGCAAAACATATGTATATTAAATTTATTTAATATCACGAGAGATTAATGGCAAAGCGAGAGAGCGGGATAGAAATAGCCGGAAATTAACGCACCCAACTGCAGCCGCAATTAGAAAGAGACGGCGGCAGCGGCTCACTTTGATGAGATAATTTTTCGAAATTATTTATTTTCATATTGTGTGTAGGTGCCTGCCCGTTCGCATTATTTATTTATTTATACCCGAGTGTTCCCTTGCGTTTTTGCAATTCCCAATCTGCGAATGCTTATCGCCCACTCTGTCTCGCTCTGGCGCCCGCGATCGCCGCTCTTGCCTCTCTTTCCCTCCTCCCTCGTGCAATGAAACGGCAATAGCAACAACCACAACTAAGCTTTGAAAGCTGCGTTGCGTGTGCCCCTCTCTTACTATCTCACTCCCTCTGCTTGTTCTCTATGTCGACGATTCTACTTAATGCTGTGCATATGTGTGTGTGTTGGGATCCACGTACATAGCTACACTTGGGGGCATTTGGATAGAAATAGGCATACTAAATATGCTGGATACTAAAAACAGAATAGTGTAAAAACAAAAAATTGGCATCATTGAATGACTAACCGTTGTATGACTGTTACATCGCCTTGGCAGCATTGGTAGAGTTGCATTTTTGCTTCTGGAATCGTACTAGAAATGTAAAGTTTCTGGGAAGTACAATGTTTAAAGAAAACTTTCAAATCTCCTCCACTGCTGTTTTTATGTTCGTTTCCATGGTGTGTGCAAGTTGTGCGCTGCGAATGCGAATATCAAGGTCAACGTGTGATGTGTTTCTGCCGCCGTCTGCGCTCCCCTGCGTCCCCCCAGCCCCTCTCCCCTCCGCACTCCACCAGCACAGCCGCTTCCCCCTCACCCGTAAAAATGAGCTCTAAGAAAATAATTAAATGGCAGGCATGCGAAAGAAAGACAGCCGCACAGTGACGGTATAAAAAAACGCAATTTTTGAAGCGCAGTTGTTAAATTAGAAATGCCATATTTTGAAATAAAATTGTGTTCTTTTGTTATTTTTTCTCCCATCTTGCCCCTTCTATTGCTACTTGTCTACCGGGTCTTGGCCATTAATCAGTTGCTGAAATGCTTTGAGCAACTTTAGAATCGGCAAGCAGATGATGCGGCATAATTGTTATTAATATTATGATAAGTATACAATGCACAGAGTAGGGAAAAAAGTGAGGGGCAACGATTATTGTGGGAAATAGTACTTCATTTTGGATGCGGTCAATATGGAACTCTTACTTCTGAATACTATTATTAATACCAAATACTTTTGTATGTTGCGTATTTATTTATCAATTAAATGTACTGTAATAGTTGTAGTCAACCGATAATCAATCGATAATCACAGTTTAGCGATCCCCTGCCTGTCATCGAAAAAATCAATAAAATTAAATTGCCCACACACACAATTATCGGCAGGGGAAAGCAATCGATAACGATAATCCATCTGGCCAAATTATATAAATTTGCACACATTATGCGAAATTGACGTACAAAAAAGCTAATCACAATGTTGGAAAGTTGGATCGAGCCTCCGATGGGATCATCATCCATCATCAGGCAGCAGTAGTAGTGGTGGTATTAGTAGTAGTCCATGGATTGCATTCCTAGCGAATCTCCAGCGCAAATTGTATTAAGACATAAATGCGAGTGAAAATCGATGAGGAAGAAGCTGCAGAAGAATCGAAATCTATCTATACATATGTACGTATATATATATGAATTTTGTGAGAGAGGAGGTAGAACGGCAATAAAAAGAGCCGCAAGCGCCAGCCACACAGACACACAGAAAATTGCTGGCTAAAAAACGAGGAACAAAAAATGAAACCCGGCAAGGCGGCGATATGCAAACATAATAATTTGCATATTTCGCCGCAGTGTTCAGCAATGGTTGTTGTTGTATTTCTCTGATGGTGGTCAAGCAACAAGAAGAACAAAAACAAAAGCATCTATAAAAGGGAGTGGTGCCCCCATAATAGAAATGTTAACCTTTCCGCAGCCAAAACAGCAACACAGCAAAACAGCAAATACAGCGAAGCCAGCAGAATCAGCCGTCACACCCAAGTTGGGCAACTAGCTAAGAGCCAACTCTGCGGAAAAGGTTAGCCAAAGTTTGGGATCTGCCAAAATAGCGGTCTAATGAAAAGCGCACTATCCCAAGAAGCTTGGCAAGCGTAGCAAATGAAACGGCTGGAGATTCAAATCAGCAGGTGCGTGCTGCATATACTCGTATGCAAACCCAGTTCAGTTCAGTTCAGAGTGGAGCTATCTAAGAAAATCGGGCGAAAAATCGGGGGAAAACAGGATGATCTGGAAAACCCAGACGAGGGAGAAGCAGATCTCCGATCGCGATAAGAACGCCAAGATAACGCCCTGCATTTAAGCCACGAAAGCTGATTCACTGGCGCCCACTCTTTGCTACCACTTTTAAGCACTTGATTTATAATCGGAATAGGAATTTTTCGCTGAGCCAAAAATGGGAGATATTTCTGCGTTCATTTAGTTTAATTTCGTTCATGCTAAAGCTGCTGTTTAAATTTCGGTTGGAAAGGTGAACGCCCACTTGGGACATGCGATCGGTTAGCCCGCCGCCCACCTCTTGCCACCTCTTTCTGGCGATCGCTGCCCCTCTCTTTCGCACTGGCAATTTATGTTGTTGACTATTTTGCCGCAAATTACATGCAACTCCCAGGATTTACACTATTTCTTCGTTTTTTCTTTCTTCTAAACTAACTAAATATATAGAAGAGAGCTGAAAATGTTTACTAACTGGGCCGTGGCGTTAGAAATCAAAGCCTTTGGCGTTCATTAGCTTTGGGGGCGTTATTCGCCTGCTGCTTCTTTCCTTTTCCTCACCGGCAGCGACGTTCAATTAAAAGTGTTGCCAATTTGCGACGCCTTATGCCCCAAACGCCAACCCCCCTCTCGCGGCCAAGCCCCTCGTGTAATCAGGAAATTCGATTTTCTTAATGCCACTGAAAGAGTTTCGAAGAGTGCGCAGGCTGGACCCAAGGAATCGGCTGGCCCCCAGAGCCCCGCCCCCTTTTCCCCCACGACAACGTATCCCCACGCCCGTGCCTTCTAATATGCGCGTGAATTTATTAACGCTCATTTTACGCTGTTGTTGCGATTCGGGGGCGTGTGCAGGCCGATTGCATTTTTTTAAATAAATTCTGGCGCAAACGGCGCGTGACAGGAGGCTCTAAGGAGCCGGTGGAGTGGGGCATGGGGGGCTGGACTGGGCGGCAGGAGGTAAAAGGAGCAGGTGCTAGAGATGGCAGCGATACATGGACACTCACGAGGGCTTGGCGATTTCTAAGCTCCCAATAACCAGCAAGTCTTTCTTGTTCAGCGATGTCTACTGCTAAAGTGATTATAGCCTTTACTTTTTCTGATGCACAATCAAATAAATCGAAGAAATTATGGGGCTTCATCTAGTTGCGATATATCGCGCGTGAGTTTCCTCACGCGCACATCGCCAGGAGCGAGGTTACTTGCCGTCTTAGGCCAAAACCTCATTAGGCTATAGCGAAATCTATATGCGAAATGGAGGCCGACGCCTTTTCAATTTGCCAGCAATGAAAATTTACAACATGGCTGTACGGTCGCCCCGCGACTTCCCCTTCAGGAAAATAGGAAAAAAGAAAAAAACGCCAACGATTGGCCGATCTGCCGGGGATATATGTATATGCATATATATATCGCTCGTTCATTGCATACCCCAAGGCGTGCATGCGCACATAAAAATCGACAGCAATGTTGAAACACGGATCGGAACTGGTTGCCGGTTGCAAGTTGCAAGTTGCTGCTGCTGCTGCAGTTGGTGTTGCCGCTGTTGCAGTTGCTGTGGCATTGTCATTCGTGGCATGTTCACGCCTTGACGCCCGCAGCCAACTGGCAACAAACAAAAAAAAAAAATGGAAAGAAGGAAGGCAGGAAGGCAGCTGAAGGAAAAAGAACTGCACTCCAAATTGAACTCCAACTGAATCTCACATCGCAGCGCTCCTTTTTTCCGTACAACGAAGCGATTTTCCCCGCTGCTCCAGCGTTTTCCGGATCGCTCGTTTGTGGCATCTTCAAAAGCGGCATTTGTGGCTGCGTTTGCGAGGCAGATCGTAAATCTAATAAATGCCTGCCGCACCATCGCGCTGCTCCAGGGGGAAAAGCGTGGAAAATGCGCCTCTTTCCTTGGGCGCAGTGCATAGAGATGATGGACTGATAAAACGGAAAAATTAAAAAGGAACATTTCTTCTTTTTTTTTTTTGTTGAAATACCTAACACTCACGTAGAGCTGCTCTAGTATTTAAGAGATTTCGCAGTTAGGTTGTGGCATTGAAGTCTTCAGTTTATGCTGCACAATATGCTTTATATGGTGTATCTTTCGTCACTAATCAGTCGTGTTTTCGATGCTTTTTAGGTGGTCCTCTCGGCTTGTTCCTCGTACTTCCAGAGCCTGTTCCTGGAGCACCCCGACGGACATCTAATTGTGATATTGAAGGACGTCCGTTTTGCCGAGCTGCAAACCTTAGTTGAATTCATGTACAAGGGCGAGGTGAACGTGCAATATTGTCAGTTGTCCGCGCTGCTCAAGACAGCCGAATCCCTCAAGGTGGGTGGTCCTTTCCAGTGCAATGCAATAGCAATCGATTGATTTACATGTTGCCATGTTGCAGGTCAAGGGCCTGGCCGAGATGACGAACCAGAACACGACGCTGCGCGAACCGGAACGGGAACCGGACCGCTTGCGTCCGCAAGGCGGCGGCGGCAGCGGCGGATCCGCCCACAAGGCGGCCGACAGTCCGGCGGCCGCTCTCGATGCCACAGCGGCCACCCAGGCGGCGACTGCCACGGCAACGGCAACTGCCGCGGCGGCAACATCGACCTCAACCTCAGCAACATCTGTGGCGGCAACGGCAGCGGCGGCAGCAGCAGCAGCAGCAGCATCAGCAGCAGCGACAGCAGCAACATCTGCGTCCACAACGGCAACAGCGGCGGCGGGGAGTAGTAGTACAACGACTACAACGGCGGCAACCACAACAGCAACCTGTGCCACAGCAGCAACATCCACGGCAGCAACATCCTCCTCATTGTCGGTGACATCAGCAGCAGCAGCAGGAGCAGCAGCTGCATCTGGTGTTGCGCACTCGGAGGAGGCGACCTCGTCATCATCGTCAACCGGCGGGCAGAAGCGGGAGGCTAGCGATCGCAGCAGTCCCACGCCCGCCAAACGATCCTCGCGAATGCAGCCGGCGGACAAGGAGGATGTGGCGGAGGATCGGGAACAGGAGCAACACCAGGCGGACGCGCTGCTGAGCGAGAAGCTGCTCGGTCGCAACTTAAAGGATGAGGAGGAGGACGATGTGGAGGAGGTGGATGAGCTGGATGAGAACGAGGAGACGATGCTGAGGGAGCGCGAAGACGACGAGGACGATGAGGATGAGGAGGAGGACACGCCCATGCCGCTGGATCTCTATCAAAGACCAAATGTCGAGCCAAAAAGCGCCGCCGCAGCAGCAGCAGCAGCAGCAGCGCAGCAGGGCGGCAGCAACAGCCTCAGCGGCAGCAGCAACTCCTGCCACACCAACAGCAGCGGCAACAATAATAATAATAACAACAACAATAACAACAACAACTCCAGCAGCAACAACAACAACACTAATAGTGGGAAAACCTCAGCGGCCAGCAATGGCGGCACAGCGACGAGCGGCGGCGCAGCGGACTCCGTGGTTGCGGTGGATGACGACGACGACGACGATGGCGACCATCACCACCAGCGACAGGTGATGGACGATCGACTGGTGCAAGATGTGAACGATGAGGACCTGGACGATGATGTCGTGGTGGTGGGCCCTGCCACCGCGATGGCCAGGGGCATTGCCCAGCGGCTGGCCCACCAGAACCTGCAGCGTCTCCATCACACGCACCACCATGCGCAGCACCACCAGCATCCGCAGCACCACCACCACCACCACCATCCGCCGCACCACCAGCAGCTCCATCCGCACTCGGATGACGATGATGCCATGCCCGTGATTGCCAAGAGCGAGATCCTCGACGATGACTACGACGATGAGATGGATCTGGACGATGACGATGAGGCGGACAACAGCAGCAACGATCTGGGTCTCAACATGAAGATGGGCAGCGGTGCGGGTGGCGGCGGCGGTGGCGTGGACCTGTCCACCGGCTCCACATTGATACCCTCGCCATTGATCACCCTGCCATCCTCATCGGCGGCGGCAGCAGCGGCGGCGGCAGCTGCAGCAGCGGCGGCCATGGATTCGCAACGCTCCACGCCGGCCATGTCGGCGGCCCAGGCGGCTGGAGCAGGCGCTTCGGACCTCAGTATTGGTGGCTCCGGCGGTCGACCGGCGTCCAGGAGCTCGCGCGACGGCGGCGGCGGCGGCAACGATGGCGGCAGGGGAGGAGCATCCTCCTCCAGCCTGCTGAGCCCGGGAACCGTGGCCAATCTCCTGCCCGTGCAATCGGTGCCATTGGTGAGTACATTTCAAACTGGGTTAGCTGGCTATTATAAAAGGCAGTCAGTTGATTAGTTCTCCCGAATAGTTGAAATAGTTGAGTAACCCCACCTTGGCATTCCCTTGCAGAGTCTCAAGAAGGAGATCGATTGCAGCGAGGACGACAACAGCAGTCACAGCAGACACATGCAACAGCGTTCGGCATCAGCTGGCGGCGGCCTGGGCGGCGACCTTGACTACCGCGCCTCCCACGAGTCGGTAAGTCTGCGATTTGGCGATACCTTTGACCCTGGCCCCGGCCCTGACCCCGCCCCTGAATTCCCTGCCCTCTGAACATACGATTCGATACGAACCCATGCCAAAATTCGAAAAGAAACTCCAGTCCCAGGAGATCCCTTTCAGTGAATGCTTTTGCTGCTTCGATAGGTTAAAAAAAATATTTAAAAAAATGAAACGAATTTAACGAATTCCGAGATGCGTCTCGCAAAAATGATCTATCTGATCCCAATCTGGCTCGATCCGACTCCATTTCTACATATATGTATATCTATATTTTAAGTATTGCTCTCTCTCTCTGTCTGTTCTTATATATATACTTCAATATGCCATATTTATATATTTAATTACCAAAAACAAAATACAAAATCCAAAAAACAAATGCAAAAAGAAAACAAAATCAAAACTCAACATATATTTTTGCTCTTCGTCGTGTTCTTTGTCTATGAATTTTTTATACATATATATATATACCCACATATATATCTACTTAATATATATATATATAACTTATCCATCTATATCTATGCCCTATATATACATATCAAGTTTTTCCCAACCTAAGAAGTAAAGTTTTTCTTTTTTCTATTCAGTTGAAGAGAATCCTTAAAAGTAATTTGAGAAAAAAAAACAAAAACCAGTATCAAATGTTAGTTGTTCAGTTTCCTAGCTCTATATAGTAATCATGTTTTGTTTAATGTGTAGCGCTCTATCTCTCTCTCTATCTGTCTCTCTCTACCTCTAGCTAGCTATGTCTCTCTCTCTCTCTCTCTGTCTCTCTCTATCAATGTCTATCGATAAGTGTCTGTGTAATTTTGTTAGTTAATCCAATCTATGTGTATGTAATCTATGTTGTTGTTGTCGTATATCTATGTGTAAATATCTCTCTGTAAATTTCCCACACACTCACACACCTAAAACACCATATGCCATAAGTTTTCGCACAGTTGATAGAATTTTGTGTTTGGTTTTATTTCCACGTTGGTAGTTGAGTTTTTATCGCTTCGTTTTGTGGGCCACTTCCACTTTTCACTTGCCACACATTGTTGGCAATTTCCGTTTGCAATTTTGTCCCCCCTACCCCCCCTTACTTCCACACCCCTGGAATTTTTTGTTTGTATTATTTATTTACTGGCCATGTTCTGTTCGAGGTCCTTCTTCCTTCCGCCCCTCCATTTCATTCCTTTCCGTTGCCTTCCCTTCTATTTTAATTTAATTTTTTATTTGCCACCAATGCTGTTGCTGTTGTTGCAGTTGCATGTTTACGACACTATAATTTTCAATATGGCTGTCAAGAGAGGCGGCATTGTCCAGGCCTTTTCGATAAAGATATTAAAAAAAATCATTCGACGAGGCGATCCTCTATCATTAAGTTAGGGGGAAAAACAGAGGCGCAGCTTTACAGAGAAATTCTTGGAAAGAAGCATTAAATATAGAAGCATTTTTCAATTAATGCTATAATTAAATATTGAAGTATACTATGCCCGGGAACGACCATTACAAACAGCCTAGAGATAAATTCAGACGCTTCTAACAAATGAATATGCAAATAGAGTATACGCAGTGTGTACAATAGCCGCATTTAATCCAGCTCGCCAGCCTTTCCATGTCCGTGCATTTATTATTTGCGAATGCTATAGAAATAAAATAAAAACCAAATCAAATATTCAAATCAAACAATAAGAAAAATTGTCGCATGTTGCAACAGGACAAACAAAGGGGAGTACAAAACAAAACAAAAATAAATAAGAAACAAAAACTAAGAAATTGTTTGGACTGTGTGGGTGGCTCGATATTCAATTTATTTTGCTGCCCCCAGTGCGAACAAGGCATTTCGCGCCGCTTCCTTTGGGCGGCGGTTGTCTCCACTAATTTTGGCTCGCATTCAGAGTGAATGTAATGCATACTTTTGGGTACACGGCAAGCACAACTGTACTTGCCTGGCAAAACATTTAGCTTCCGGCAAATATATTTTCACATTACATTTTCCTCCGTCGCCGCCGCCCACGACCATCTACTCATTCTTTTTAAGCGCAAATTTTCGTCAACAGGGATAAACGCGAAAAATGTTGGGCTGAAACAGAAAAAACCAAAAAAAAAAAATATGGGAGAATGAAGGCAAAAGGAACACGAGTAGCCACTGTCGTTTTTCTTATGTTTCCTAGCCTCTTCTTCAGTGCAGTGGAAAAAGGCAGCAAAAAAGATTTTATATATATGCATAACGCACTTTGTTGCAACGCTTGACGAGTTTAGGGGCGAATTTCGGGGTGGCAAAAGCTGGATGACAGACCCCAGATGGGCCAAGCCAGCGGAAATGTTGTCAAAAATGCAAGAGTACCTAAAAGTTTGAAAATTAAAATGTAAGGCTCGCAGTGTTGACTTGCCGCAAGGTTGCGGTCTCCAAATGCATTCCAAATGGAAGTTCTTTAAGTCGCAGAAAATTATCATCGAACAGAGGCGAATATTCCTTCAAGTTGACATTTAATTAAATTTTCCTTCACCTGTAAAAGGAAAACTTTAACATTTAATGTGGAGCATTGAGAAATTCATTTTCAAGAAAATTTCTTCGATTTCTTCTTGGAATTGTTGGTCAATGAAGCAATGTGTACATTGCCGGACAAAGCTTTCCACTTTTAACGTAACTGGAAATCTTTTTACGAAGTCTGGAGCATTACGTGGTATTTATTGTATGTGTCCCAACAAATTCCCCCCGCCTTCTTTGCCCCTCCATCGGCGCCTTTCTCCTGCAGCGACGCACATGCATAAATTCAAATAAAAATTTATCTAAAAAAGAAAGCCTGGGAAAATGAAAGCCCAAAAGAAGGCAACAAAAAAGTGGCGGCCGCCTCGAGTTGCGGACGTTGACGCCGAATGCGCCAGTGTGCGTGTGTGTGTGTGTGTGCGAGTATCTGTGTGAGGGTCGGCTGTGTGTTGCACAGGATAAATTTTAATACAACTTGGAAAAAAATCAGATCAAAGCAAAGGCAACTTTGTCATTTTGAAACTACCGGCGATTTGATAAGTTCTGTACACGAATCTGATTCTTTTCATAATATTTTTATATGTATTTTCAAATTATCTTTATAGTTGCATACAAAATTTATGAAAAATGTATATCATTTTAATATTTATACAAAATCAGGCATTTTCTAGAAATGTGTATTAATTGCTATTTTTCAAATATTAAAACAGCTCTCTCGAAAACGTTAGGCATATTAAATATATTTTGATTCTCAAGCAAGTAAATTAAATGGGTTTTTTTAAAGTTCTCTAACTGTATATCTAATATTTATCACGGCACTAAAAATGGTTTGATTTTCGCTGTGTACGTGTGTATGTAGATGTGCGACTTTGTGCGCTGCAATTCGTTGACTCTGATGTTCTGCAGGCCTCTTGTAGGCCTCTCCAAGCCATTGCCGCATAATAAATACTTTTGCTTTTACACTTTCTTTTTTCCCGGCTTGCGTTGCACTCCTTTCTCCGTTCTCCGTTCTCCTTGCCGTCCGCCTCTGTGGCCCTTTCTTCGCTGTTGCGCAAAGGGGGGAAAGAAATGATTATAAGGAGGGGAGCGAGCAAAGGCAAAAGCAAAACCAAAATCAACGCACAAAACCAACAACTTTTGCTTTCTTTTACTTTTTGCTTTCTTTTCTACACAGACACACACGGCCACACACATGAGTATTTAATTTTGAAACAAATGCGTTCGCTTTTTTTCCTCTCGTTTTTCGAGCTGCTGCTGCTGCTCTTATGCAATTTTTTCATAGCATACCTTTAGGCTGGCCCTCTCAAATGTCGCCGCCGCCGCTGCTGCGCTTGCATTTCATGAGTCGTCGTCCCCCCTTTTGCAAGCCCCTCTGTTGGGGCAACCCCCCCCCCCCCCAACCCGCTCCACCAGCACCTGCCCTTGTCAGCATTTGCGTTGTTTGTTTGCCGTCAACATTGCGTATGCGTAATATGAACGCTGGTACAGGGACACACAAGGCGGAAATACTGGGAATGCGAAGACAAGTGTCAATAGCTCTTCGAAATATATTAAAATGAGACTTATTGGCAAGGCTTCAGCAAAGACTATAAAAGATGTCCAAATTGAATTAAAGGTCACATTTTAATTTAATATTTAAAGTCAGTTTACTCAAAATAAAAGAAATTACTGGGTATTTTTGGACACATATATACCACACTAGATTTTAATTGAAACGAATGCCAGCTAAAACATTTAATAAGAAGAAATGTACTCAATTGGCGAACCGCAATTCTAGTCAAAAATAGAAGAGTTCGAGTTGGGGGCCCTATTATTTGCGCCGCCACTGTTCGCATGCACATGGATTTGTTTACGTTTGTATATAAATGCCGGGGCTATGCATATATTTTTTAATATTTTTATTCGGAGGCTTTCGCACAACTTTTGACTGAATGCATTTAGGTATTGTCGGTGGAGTTGGGCCCCTCTTTCACTCACAGCCCCAACCGCCCCATCACTCTAAGCCTCCATCAATGCCTGGCAACTGTCAATCATGCAATGCGCAAAATAAAAAATATTAAAAAAAAAACCGCAAAAAAAAGATTTTTGTGAGGCAGCGGAAATCCAAACAAATATACGAAAAGAGCGAAAAAAAAGGGAGTCAACAACAAAAAATGCTGCCAAAACGCAACAAATGCCAAAGCGAAAATATATTGCATTGTGTGGGGCAGCAGGAGCCCTCAGCCGCCCACCCTGCTCCACCCTGCCCCACTTTGCCCCACCCCCGCACGCACATTGCACATTTGGCGCTGCAACTGCGACGGCGACTTCTCTGCCGCGGCATTGTAATCAGCGCTCGATGCCCCGCGCTGCGTTGATTGCAAAGTTTTTCAAGTGCTTTTTGGTGGACCTCCCCCCTTTTTACCCCTTCAGCCCTTCACCCTTTGCCGCGCCACCCCATCGGCCCAGCCACGCCCCCTGGCTCGGTGCGACCCTTGCCGACTTACCCGATTTTTATTTC